GCGGACACTAAGAGACTTACATAGATTTAATCTACGTGGGAAGTAGAAAGTAGAAAAAGGCAAGATCTCCTGAGTAAATTGGGAGCATGGGGACCTTGGGGGAGGATTGAAGTGGGGAGGGAGGGGAGAGGCGGGGAGAGGAACAGAGAAAAATGTAGAGCTCAATAAAGATAAAAAAATACTTAAATTTTTATTAATGTAGAGAAGTTCATACCAGTGTCAAATATTTTAGACTAGTGATTGTCTAAATGTAGACTCAATAATCCACCCCTTTATTCCTTCATTTCTATACTCTATCTTTTCCTTCAGGCGATTCTTGAATCTGACTCCTTTGACTTTTTTCTATACTGTGACCAATAATGGCTTGTAACCAGCCACCCCCCCCCCCAAAAAAAAATAATGCCAAGCATCTATAACCCATTGAATGACCATTAACCATCTATTCCACCTCTTGGGAATGTGGATCTTATGTTCTCTAGACTGCTTCCTGTTGCCCAGGAGTGCTGGTATCTTTAGGAGATCCTGGGAAAACTGGGATAATGGTTAAGTCCTGGTATAGTTTGCTATATTATTTGTTGTTCAGTCTCTGTGCAGTGGGAAAGTTCAGGGCTTATCGGAAGTCCTGGCTGAAGTAGTCTGTGAGACTGCTCAGCTAGCAGCCGTGTGGTTGCTGAGAATTTAATTCACAACCTGTGGAAGAGCACCCAGTGCTCTTAACCGCTGAGCCATCTCTCCAGCCCCATACTTAAGACATTTTTAAAATATATAGGTTGGTTTAATTTTCCTGTTTCCATAATCCAGTGTCTCAGCAGCTGTTCTTTTTTGTACATTATATATAAAAATTTCAAGGTTAAGCTATCATATAGGATCCAGACTCTGTACATTTTCCATCCTTATGTGACCTTTTTTTTTTTTAAATCACTTTACTCTCTCTTCAAAGACTTTATTTTAAACTCTTTTTAATATGACTGTCCATACCCATTTGCTTGTTTTTAAGCCTACAAACATGGTTAAACACACTGTAACCTATCAAGAGTTTTTTCCCATGTGAACCTGCTTTTCTGTATATCTGTAACCTTTTCTGTCTGCATGAGCAAAACCTTAAATACGCATGTGGCTTAGCTCATGACACACTAGCTGCCCAAGCATGCAGGCAGCTGCTGAGAGACATGTCTCTCTCTGTACTGTAGGCAGTATGAGAGACATGAGATTAGGAAGCCACATTTGACTCTGTTTTTGTGTATTTAGAACCTTTTTTAAGTTTTCTCAGGTCTTGTGTAGTTATCTGTAGCCAGACGTTGTACACCGTTTGTAGGTGGATGTTTTCTGTTATTCCTGCTGGCTCCCAAATCACAACCCAAGACTTCTTATTAGTTATCAAAGCTTGGTCAATAACTTAGGCTTTTTTCTAACTATCTTTATTTTTATTCATTTACTTTCTTTCTGGTAGTCTTATTGCTTTTACTCTGCCATGTTGCTTTCCTGCTTCCTCCCTTCTTCCCAGCGTTTTCTCTGCCCTGACACAATAGATAACTCAGCTTCTTATGTGTGTTTTAGTATCTGGAAGTTGGGTCTTCATGAGTGGGTAGCACATGCTCTTTACTGCTGAGCAGTAAGACAGCACCTTCATTCATCTTTTATGTCAGTTCTCATTCATTGTTGATGTGAGAAATGCCAATATTGAACTCATCATGAAAGCCTTGATAAAGCTCACTTAACTAGTTTTTTATTCTTTTTAAAAGGTTATTTATTAATTATTTTTAAGATTAGTGATTAATTGTTAATATTTATTAAGTATACAATATTCTGCCTGCATGAAAAAAGAGGGCACCAGATCTTAGCTGGGTGGTAGTGGTGCACACCTGTTATCCCAGCACTCGAGAGGCAGAGGCAGGCAGATCTCTGTGAGTTCGAGGTCATCTTGCTCTTCAAGAGCTAGTTTCATGACAGGCTCCAAAACTACAGATCACACCTGTCTTGAAAAACAAACAAATAAATAAAAATAAAATCTGAAGAGTGTGCCAGCTCTCCAGATCTTATTCTATATGGTGTGAGCCACGATATGGGTGCTGGGAATTGAACTCAGTCCTCTGGAAGAGTAACTAGTGCCCTTAATCTCTGAGCCATCTCTCTATGCCCCTTGCCTTTTATTCTTATTGTGTGTCTATAATCACACATATATCAATCATGTATGCATGCACATGCACAATTACACACTTGTAGAGGTCAAATAACAACTTTGTGGGGTTTTTTTTTTTTACGAGTTTGGGAATTGAGTCTATCTCTGACTATCCTGGAATTCTCTGCATAAATCAGGCTGCCTCTGCTTCCTGGGTGCTGGGATTAAAACCTTGTGTCACTGTCCCTGGCTTCCAACCATTGCTTAATGAGTTCTCAAGGTCGAACTTAGGTCCTGAGCCATCTCCTTGATGCCCTCTTACCAGTCTTATGTTTTCTCAGCACATTTGTAACTAGATTTGGTATTTTTCATTTATTTGTCAGCACAGTTGAACCTCTAGTTATCCCTGTTCGCTTCCTGTGTATGAAGAAAGCACACAGCCACTCACTATTTTTGTACCCAGTTAGCTGGAGAGTTTTTCTTATTGCTGAGAGATTATTTTTGTCATATAAATAGAATTTGTTCAGTGCTCTTCCTACATCTATTGAGATGTTCTTAGCGCTTTCTTTTTTTATTTACTTTTTCTTTTTAGTAGTGAGTAAGTATTGAACCAAATTTGATTTCCAGAGATAGAACTTGATCATGATCAAAAAATAAATTTTTCATATTGTTTGTCCTATTCTGTTTGTGTATATGTTTGTGTGCCATGGTGCATCTCTGGCAGTCTAATGACAATTCTCAGGAGTTATTTTCTTTCCTTCCACCATGGAATCTGGGCAGTAACTTGAAATCAGAAGGTTTGTATGGCAATATTTATTGTTGAATTTCTGCCTGCTAAACTTTGTGTGTTTGCTTTTATTTATTTTTTTTTATTCTTGCGTCTAAATTCATGACAGTGTTGTTTCTGGCTAATTGTCATGTTTGTATATTTAGGCAATGACCTCCTAGGATGAAATAGATGGTTTTTTCCTCAAATTTGGTAGAATTTACCAGTAAGTTAGTTGAGAAGACATAACTCAAGTTGAAGAGAAACAGAGGTCCAGTTTACCCGTACCTTACAGTCTGGTTGAACCAGTGTCCTTGTCTGTGCTGTTACTGTCACTGTTTCTTTACTATGTCCAGACTAGAAAAATGAGCAGTCTACTCTGTCCACTTAAATTAATTGGAATTTTTCTAAAAAAAAAAAAAAAACAAAACAAGATGGCTCAGCGGTTAAGAGCATTGCCTGCTCTTCCAAAGGTCCTGAGTTCAATTCCCAGCAACCACATGGTGGCTCACAGCCATCTGTGATGAGATCTGGTGCCCTCTTCTGGCCAGCAAGGAGACAGACAGAACACTGTATACATATTAAATAAATAAATCTTTAAAAAAAAGAAAAAAGACCCTAATATGAGGGGTGGAGAGATGGATCAGTAGTTAAGAACACTGACTGTTCTTCCAAAGGACCCCTGTTCAAGTCCCAGTACCCACATGGCAGCTCATGACTGTCTGAAACTCTAATTCCAAGGAATCTGACACCCTCACACAGAATAACGTGCAGGCAATACACCAATGCATAAAATAAATTAAAAAGAAATTCTAGTGTGAAATCCTTAAAACATCTATTATACATTCTTTTTCAAGTGCACATGACAAATTTACGAAGATGGACTTCGTTTTGGTTCATTTAAAAAGTCTCTTGTTTCTTTGTTTGTTGTGTTGTGTTGTGTTCGAGACAGGGTTTTACTGTCGCTTTGGAGCCTGTCCTGAAACTGGCCTCGAACTCACAGAGCAGCCTGCTGACTGCTGGTATTAAAGTCTTGCGCCACCACTTCCTGACTAAAAAGTGTTCTAGTTGGGCCGGTACGTTGGCTCAGTGGTTAAAGGTATGTGTCACCAAGTCTCATGACCTGCTTCTCTCCAGAGACCATGTGGTGGAGAACCAGCTGCCACAAGCTGTCCTCTGTCCTATGTGCACGATCAGTATCTTCAATTCCTTAAGCTTTCAGTCAGAGCAGGTGTTCTCTCTTGCCATGGAGCAATTCAGTTTGGAAATCATTGAGAAAATCCCTCCTGCAATTCTTTCCAGCACTTAGAATCCAGGCACCATTACTTCCTGGTAGGTCAGAGGAAAAGCCAAAGGGAAGTGTACAAACATTTTTTCTGTAGCAGAATGTGAAGCCAGCATGGCAAGTTTTCTGGAATGTTTCTCTTGCTGTTTTCAGCACCTGTTGTAAATTTAGTACAAACAGTGGGTATTTATTATCTTACAGTTTTGTGGGTCAGAGGTCCACAATGGAATGCACAGGAGCTTCTCAGAGGCCCGCATCTCTGAGTTCTCATGGAGGAGACTGTCCTTTGCTTTCTCAATCACTGTTTCCTGCTGCGCAGACCTCCTGCACACAGCTCCCTCAGTCCTCCTGCCTCCTTTACCTTAAAACGCCTTATGGTTAAAACGCCACAACTTGGCGATAATGGGTTCCTGTCCGTCTGAAGATGGTTAATTTTACCACATCTGCAAGGGCACCGCCATACATGATGTTGCAGGGAGTGTGATATGAGCATTTTCCGTGATATTATTCTGCATAGTATACTGCAATGCTGATTATTTAGATGGAAAAAAAATGTTTTGGTTTTTCAAGAAAGAATTTGTGTAGTCCTAGCTGTCCTGGAACTCTGTAGACTGAACTGGCCTCAACTTCAGCGATCTACCTGCCTCTGCTTCCTGAGAGCTGGGATTAAAAGTGTGTGTCACCACCACCACCCAACTAGATAGAGATTTAAACCAATAATTGTATATATTTTGAAAGAATGATATCTTCATAGTTTTGGCCTCAGCATCCACCTTTAGAAACTTATTAAATTCAAAGGAAGGGGAAAAATGAAGATAAAATTAACAAAATTTAAAAATAGAAAATATGAGGTGTTTATTGAAAACATCAGAATTCACCTAGATGTCACTCATTAATTAGCTTTACTGATCAATATTGTTGAAGCAAGAAGTAAAAATAAAAACTCTTAGTTATATGTAGATATCGATCTTTGGTAGAACATAAGGCTGAACCTTTCATTTTATTACACTATCTTTGTTTCCGATGCTCGGCCCTGAAAAGCTTTATACCGAACATGAAGCAGTTACCAACCTCACAGGAGCCTCAGAGGCTGCATGCGGTACCCGGAGCAGCATCCTGAGTCCTTCTTTCCCCGGCACCGTTCATGCATCTTCCCCATTGATGAGATTCTTTGCGGTTATCTATGCAGTCACCGTTTATGGTGGGTGTCCTTGTTTTGTTTTAGACAAGCCCTCGCTGTCCTGGAATTCACAATATAGACTAGGTTAGCCTCAACCTCACAGAGAGCCGCCTGCCTTTGCCTCCACAGTGCTGGAATCAAACATATTTGTCACCATGCCCTGCAGTCTTCACTGTAGAATTTCTTTTTTGTCACCCATATTATCCTTGTTTCCAAGATAAATCGACTTTTTTTTTTCTAGAATCCATGGGAATTTCTGAAACAAAAATGTCAAGAGGGAGGACAAAATAATTTACACTGCCTAAAGAAACTGGTAGAGGCCCCGAGGTTGGGCACCTGAGAACTTTGATTTAGTGCTGACTGAAGGGCAGATAGCTAAGAAGAAAACTAAAATGAGGAGAAAAGAATGGATGTGAAGGGTTAAAAGCCAGGTGTCTAGGGTAGGAACTCTCTGAGCATTCCATTGCTGGAACATTCTACTCTGTTTATGTGTACGCCTGTGACAATGAATTACGCTTCTTCAGCAGGTGAAATGCTTTCTCAGTTTTGTGACACTTGAGCCCCAAACCCTGTACTGTGAACACACTGGTCCAAACTGGAGGGGAATGCACACTGAGTCCAGAGAGTGGAAAGGAAGAAAAGCATCCTCTGTAATTGAGGCTCGACTGGCAGCCACACTCCTAATTCTTATTACCAGATTGCAACAAGAGAGTGAAGTCTCTTCACAATATAAAGATTTTACAGGAATAGAGGATAGCAGCAAATCCACTTCATCATAAGCTAGTGCTGGACTGAGTACCATGGGAAGCTCCTGAGAGAGACCTCAGAACATGCAGCCCTGACCCAACGACCTGGCTTCCACTTGAATCCACATGCTGAAAGACAAGGACAAGCTCCTTGTCCTCTGACCTCCATGAGCCATGCTTAAGTCAGCTAAATGAGCAAATTAAAAATTACTTTGATGTAACTCTGGCATAATTGTATTTTGTGCTGTTAGTTGGTAGCTGTAACTACCGTAAGTGATAGCAGCACTTGTCTTCTTGCAGCAAGTTTTTTCTGTGTAGGCCAACATGGCTTTGAACTCCCTGTGCCCATGTCGGTCTTAACCATGGAGTTGTACTACATCAACTACCATGTACCATCCCCTAAACTGTAGTTCCCCTTACTTCAGCCATCGCGTCAGGGACCAACCTTGTTCATCCTGAATTACAGTGACCTTCTGTTCGTTGTTTCTGTTCAAATGACAAGCATAACTCAAGTCATTATGACAGACAGGTAGTTGCTAGAGCCAAGTACCTGGGTGAGAAGTCCCATTGTGACAATGAGACAAAGCTGTGGGGGTTGCTTCTTGACCCTGAGTGTTAATGCTGATAAAATGTACATCCCAGGGATGCAGGTGTAGAACGGGTCCTATGAAAAGGAGTAAGGACACGATCTTGTGTAGATTGATGGTGCTGACGTAGGGAATGCTCTGGATTCTAGGACCTGCCATCCACAGTGGCTCAGCAGAGTCCCTGCTCTGCTCTGTTCTGGATGTGCAAACCTGTTAACTTCATATTGATATGAACTTTCCATAGGCTAGTCTAGCATTTCATTCTGTTCCTACTTTTTGCTGTCTTTTTAACATTTATTTTGTGCATTTCTGTCAGGATACACATGTGTGCAACACTTTGTCTGACTGTCAGGACAGCTTGTGGAAATTGATTTTTTTCCTTCCACCTTGTGAGACTCATGAATTGAATTCAGGTTGCCTTGCTTAGTGGCAGATGCCTTCACCAGAGCCACCTCCTGCTCCTTTGCTCTTAATTAAATGGCTCCATTTTCTTAGTTATGTACCTTTAGCTCTCGGGTTTTCTGAAACCTCAGCCTTGTCCCTGTGCCTGACTCGGCCCGGTCTTCCTCCCAGAACACTAATGTAGGCTAAGGTTAAGGCCCATTTGGTGGAGCCAATGTGAGCTTTGCTGCTCTGATTAGCAAGGTGTCCTAGCAGCTGGGAGCCAAGGAACACCACAAAGTCACTGTAAGCCTGGCGCTTAAAGTAACTTTGCTCCAGGGAAAGGTTTCCCAATGCAGGTGCAACAGCTCTGCTCCAGCAGGGAAGGGCTTCCCCAGTGCAGGTCCTGTTCCTGCCAAGTGTTACATCTCAGCTCACTAGGAGGAGTGTTGACGGCATGTAACAGCTCTGCTCTGGCCTGGCTCTCGGCAAATGCTAAAGCTGGACTCCAATCTGGCAAACGTGTCACATGCACAACAAACCGCTTCAAGAGATTTATTGGGAAGGAAAAATCCAGGAGCATGACTCCCTCTGGGGTGAGAAACAGCAGCAAACTGAACAGGGTTTGGAGCTTATATAGGATTTCTTGTGGGGCTAGAACTTTCAGGGTGGCTAGAGATTGATGGAATTTCAAGCCCATGTTTGCGTCTACTCAGGGGCAGGGTGTTTTTTCTTTGGCCCTTTTTACCCTACAGTGACTATGTAGTAATTTTGGCGGTTGCTCTGTTGGAACTTTCCACAAAAGTCCAATACATTAAAGGTTTAAATTCTTGTTTAATTTTAAAATTAAATAAAAGAATAGCCAGAATGTAAACTACACATGAAATAAATATGTAACTGTTATTTCTATCTTTTTTTTTTTTTTAGATAGATGTAGTGCTATTTTGTTTGCAATCTAACAAAGAAAGCTTATCTGAAGATCAGAGTGCAGGGATAAGAGAATAGTTAGCCATAGAAGCCAGGCAGTGGTGGCACACACCTTTAGAGGATTTAGAGGCAGATGGATCTCTGTGAGTTCAAGGCTACCTTGGACTATGCTAGATTGAGTCTAAAAGAGAAACATCTTACACAAAGGTGATTCCGGCACTTGGGATCCCACACCTTTAGTCCCAGCACTAAGGAAGTGGAGACAGGATTGATGTGACTGGAAGGAGAGAGGAAGATAAGGCGGGAGGATGCAGGAGCTCAGGTACAGTCTGATGATTCAGTCAGAGCATGCAGTCTGAGGATTTGTAGAGCCCTTTGGTGTGAGCATTGGTAGAGGTAAGAACTCTGGCTGCTCTACTTCTCTGATCTTTCATCACTAACCCCTCCCTATATCTGACTCCCAGTTTTTTTTTTATTAAGAACAACAATCAAATGGATTTTTTCTGTGTTAATAACCCTCGCTGTCCTAGAATTTGCTTTGTAAACCAGAGTGGCCTCAAAGTCACAGATCCATCTGCCTCTGCCTCCCAAGTGCTGGCATTAAAGATGTGCCCTACCGCCCTGCAGCTGTTATTTCCAAATGACAGAAAGAAAATTGACCAAAATCCCTGTGACACTTCAAGATAAAATGGCTTCCAGCATTGTGCTTTATGGTTGACCTCTCTCCCTTCCCCCATCTTGCAAAGGATCATGTCTGAAGTGCATTCTGGCATATGAGTCAGGCTTCTGGACTGTGCTGGATAATATTTACTGTGCTCCTAAATGTGCAAAGTGCCTTGGAGATGAGTGAAGCCCATTGCTGGGGTGAATCTAGAGAAGATTAGCTAACGAGGAAAGACCTGCCAAGGGCTCAGGTTCAGTGGAAAGCGATGAAGGGGATAACCAGCTATTGCTACTGTTTTCCTGTCTGCTTCTTGGCCACCATAACAGATTCCTCTGCTTCAGTTCACGATTTTGTTGTCTTGAGTTGTTTTGTTCAGATTTTTCCTCACAGCTAGTCTGACAGAGTATAATAGAAGAGTTGTGCTGCAAAGTGAAGTTGTTGCTGTGATTTCCTCCTGCTTGGCTCTTACACATTTGGGAAAGGAATGTGGGTGACTTTAGAAGAGCCCCCAGAATGTTATGCGCAGGGCTTGGAGGGCAGTTGTGGTATTAGCGTAGAGAGGTTGAACACTGATGTTCTCAGTACACACACACACAGTCAAGGGTAGACTTGTAGGTTTTACCATAAGGATGAGAATTTGGGGGACTGTTTGTTACATATTGCATCAAAATTTTTTCCATTTTGCACATGCCCTGAGAATCTGATCTAATTCAAAGGTCACTAATTGGCCTTCAGGAGGAAGTTCCTAGGTGTAGCATTCCGGCTGTGACATGGTTATAGCCAGCTTTTCCTAGACAAATCGAGAGTGAGAATTGGGAGCAAAATCAAAGCAAAATGCCTAAAACAGCATTGATGGTGTTTGTGCGGCAGGGACTTTGGATGTTAGAGCCAAGACACTAGATCTGTTAGGAAGAAAACAGAGCCAGGCCTGGGAGGCAGAGGCAGGTGGATTTCTGTGAGCTCAAGGCCAGCCTGGTCTACACAGAGAGTTTTAAGCCAGCGAAAGCTGCATAGTGAGAGCCTGTCTCCAAGCGTGGATGGAGTGTGTATAGAACAAGAAGCCAAGTACTTTGTCCTGAGACTATAGAAAAGGTACCTTGGGGTGTATAATGATTTGCTGACCCTCCAGAAGCAGTTTGAGGCTGTAGTGTTTGAGCTTGTTTAAATAAGAAAGAGAGAGAGAGAGAGAAGAAAGAAAGAAAGAAAGAAAGAAAGAAAGAAAGAAAGAAAGAAAGAAAGGAGGAAAGAAGGAAGGAAGGAAGAAACTACAGCCTCTGGAGGTGTTTTCCCTCACTTGGTCACCCAGAGGGGCCAGGCCAGCAGAACACAGGCAAATGTTTTTGTCCCGAATCAAGTGTCTGGCCATTGCTCAAGTCTTGGTGCACCTTGACATCTTCCGAGGAGTGTAGGTCTTGTAAGCACTGAGAATTGAAGAGTTACAAAATCACCAGTCTCATCCGTCTTCTTTAAGGGGTTTTAGCCACCACAGGAGCTCCATCCATAACTCAGAGGAAGACCCAGAGCTAACCAGTAAGGCGGGGACAGGGTGTCTGCAGGCAGCCTTGCAGAGAACAGTGCCTCAGGCTGTAAGGATGAAGCAGAAGGCACAGTAGAAATACCAGGAGAGTAGAGGTCTAGGAACATGGGAACCTGTAGACAAGCAGAGTCAACCTAAGAGCAGCTGCATGGGCTGAAAAGGCAACACCGTAGAATGGGGCTTCCCATACCCTTGGCAGACCTCATCATGCCAGTGGCTGCTTCAGGTGCTGGGCATGGAGCTAACGGAACCCAGTGTTTACCCTGTTAGGTTTTTGTCTTGCTTTGTTTTTATTTCTATATTCCCTCCACCATGCTTTTTCCATGCCTTTGTAGCATGGAAGGATGTAGCTTGGTTTTACCCTACCGGGTTCCCAGCTAAGAGTTTGAGTCTCAAAAGAGACTTTTTGAGTTTGACTCAGAACAAGACTCTAGCCGGAGACTTTTTTGCATCCTGCCCAGTCTCTCAGTCGCTTATAAAATAATCATTCAGAGGCCTAATATTAATTACAATTGTTTGACCAATGACTCGGGCTTATTACTGGCTAGCTCTTACATCTAAATTAACCCGTTTCTATTAATCTGTGTTTTGCCACATGGCTTATGGCCTAACTGGTAATGTTCTGCCATCTTACTCCTCCAGCGGCTGCTGGCATTTCTCTCCACTCTGCCTTCTTTCTCCCTGTATCTGTGCTTGGATTTCCTGCCTAGGTATAGTCCAAAGCAGCTGCATTCATCAACCAATAAAAACAGCATATATTTGCAGCCTACAGAAGAATATCCCACATCACAAGGCTGTATATAGCTTTTGGTGCTTTGGAGGTCCAAGCTCCAAAGACAATGGAAATAGTCTTTGGAAATATAATTCCATATAATATATAATTCCATATAATAATATGGAAATAGACATTTTCCATTATGAGATGAGTGTGCATATTGGGAGAGCTGCAAGTGGAATGCTGTGGGTTGACGATGCTGGGGTAGTGTCCCCTTTGCTAGCTTGAGAAGTATCTTGTAGGTTTGGAAAGTGTGTGGTTGGGTTTTTCTTTGGGGATATACAGGAAAGAATTAACTAACTGAGAAAAGACTTGCCTGTGTGCACTCAGCAGTAAATTGGAAGCTATGATGGAATAGAGGGGAAGTAGGAGGCCACCTGCCAATACAAGCATGTACCCCTTTTCTGCTGTGACAGGAGCTCCTTGCTCCTACACACCCTCTCTTGTCATAAAACCAGTGAGGGTGGAGAGATGGCTCTGTGGTTAAGAACACTGGTTGGTCTTGCGGGGGCCCCAGGTTTGTTCTCAGCACCCACATCATGGTTCACAACCATTTTTTAACTCTAGTTCCATGGTAACCTGTATCCTCTTTAGGCCTCCGAAGAAACT